GTGATTGTTTTCGTTTTCAAGTAACTTAGTTCACTTAACAGAATGCAGTATATACCTAATGTCTACTACAAAGGACATTGTGAAATCAGAAAGGCAACCATTGACTATAGAGTAAACACACAACTGTGCTCGGCTCCTCTTTTCACCATTGAAAGTTTAAGTCCTTGAAGCGACCACCCAACAGAGCCGAGCACAGAGCGTGGGAAATACCCTGTTTCCCTCACCCTGCACTTCTGATTTCCTCCCTACCTCAGTCGACAAAAGTGACCAGAGATGACAGTTTTTCGTTTCACCTCAAGTCGTACACATCGGGAGTGTTTCGCCTCAAAGCAGTACATGTCGCAGACTCTGGAAGAGAAGTGTCTCAAACCCCAACCCGTAATTCTTCACCCTCAAATCAAATCAGTGCTCAAGTGAACTAATTGGAAACAGTTCCCCACTCAATTTCAATTACGCTACTCAGCCCATTTCAAATAACATACTGCCCAGGCCAATTGGAAAAAGTGTCAAAATAAACGTGTCGCCCGTGCAAGTTAGGCAGGCACATACGAAATTGGCAGATTTTATTTACTCCTGCACTGCTCTCAACGATACCCACCAAACACTGGCACCACACATTGGTCCTTCGAATAGTGGAAAATTCCCCCATATACTCGTGTCTGGCATTCCAAATTATTTATACGAGTGAGACGAATACATGTAGGTCCCACGAACTGGATTTGACCAATCTCAGGAAAGTGCCACCCCCAACATTTGGTCATACGAGCCGGATCAGGTTAGTTTACAACTTGATCGCCCCCAACAATATACATAATGTAAAAAGTTTATACATATTCCTTTCTTGTTCATTTATTCATAAAAATAGTAAATTTAAAATTTTTGTACAACATTCCCACTCTACTAGATTAAATAAGAACAAAGCTCTGCAATTACCTCAACCTAAAACCACATTTAATCTAAAATTTATAAATTATATAGGAATTGAGTTTTATAATCTGTTGCCAATGGAAATTAGAAATATTGTAAATCAGTCTAGTTTCACTAAGCAATGTAAAGAGTATGTGATAAAAAATTGTGAAAAATTCGAAAACGTGTAATGCAAAAACAGTCATACAACTTTTTTACTTACACTGGCCAATTTTTGGCTTAGCTTGAATATCGATGTTTTCAGCACTAGTGCACTAGACTAGAGTAAGGAAATCAACACATACAGATGTTCTTACATCTAGGTGTTTCGGCCTTTTATTTTATCTGCCCATCTGCACTAATTTAGTCTAAGTATAAGTTAAATTTCTTTAAATTGTTTATGTTGGAATACAGATTGTAATTCAACATGACAAAATCTGTAATGTACGTATGTAATGATGGTTGATAAACAAATTGAAATTGAAAATTGAAATTGAAATCAATCAATTTTATTAGAAAAGATTATTCGTATCTCGACAGATGGAGCACGAGTCAAGCATAGAGGTAGGAGTATCGGGAAGGCCATTTTAAGACATAAGACAAGAAGGTCACAGGAACGGAAATATTCGTTAACCACTGCATAATTCCCCAGGAAAATTCATGTGCGAAAATAAAGAGTTTGCGAAATGTCACAGTAGCAATAATTAAACTAATCAATTTTATAGTCGCGTGCGTTAAATCACCAGCAATTTAAAGAATTAGTAAAAGATTTAGAAACTGAATATGGCGACGTGATGTTTAATATCGAAGTACGTTAGCGTAGTAGAGGTGCAATGCTAAGAAGAGTATACAACTTACAAAGCGAAGTATTTCTCTTGGATGTTGTTCTTGGATATGAAGGGATATGCCTTTTCTCATTTTGGTAATAAAGAATGGGTGTGCGATTTTGGGTTTCTTATCGACATGACTCAGCATCTCAATGATCTTAATGTAGAACTTCAAGGCAAAGGACAGTTAATTCACAATTTGTATGATAAAATTCAGGGTATTGAGCACAAATTAAAATTGTAGAAACAGCATCTTTTGCAGAATAATGTCTCTCACTTTTCACATTTAGAAAAAGCAAATGGTTACTACTTCTCAAAAATACGCACACTATATATGCAATTACGATTCCATTCCAAATATTCAAGCTAGGAAGACAGCGGTGTCCATGCAAATGTTTTCCTCGCCATATAATACCGATGTGCATACAATTTCAGAAGACTTTCAAATACAAGTAATTGACATGCAGAATAATGCCGATTGGAAAAATGTACTTTTCTCAGTAAACATAAAAAATGTGTATAAATCTGATGTGAGCCCTGAGAAATTTCCGCTTCTGACAAAAAATGCAAAGCAAATTATGTTTCTGTTCGGAGTACGTACGTTTGTGAACAAATATTTTCAACCATCAAATTTACATTACACAAGAAAGCCCACCGATCCAGACGGAGTGATGCACGATTAGAAAGCTATGTAGCTTTCTAATCGTACGTACGTACGTGTAGTTATCTAATCGATCGATAAAGATATCATTTCGGCTGATGTTGATCAGCTTGTATCGAAAAAACAATGTCAAATTTCTCATTAAAAATTTCTATTAAATTCGTTTTTCTATTCTTTTCTTGTTTGCTTTTATTTTGTATTCAAATTTGTATATGAAATTTTTACTTTTTTTATATTATTTTTGTTTGTATTAATTTTTTAAATAAATTTAGTTTTTCATATTAATGTTTATTATAAATAAACTTTTGAAAATTATTAGTAAGTGTTACTTTATGTGCGGCCCGCCAAAAAATTTATAATTTAAATTGGCCCGTTAACTGAAAAGGTTGCTCACCCCTGAGTTACACGATGTCAAAAACATATTGAAGTGGGTGGACTACATTTCAAACAATTTCGTAAATGTTTGTTGTGTTAAATGTGCAAAACCACCCATTAAGTTTGTGATTTTATTATTACGTTCCAGTTTCATTAAAGTATTATTAGCAATTTTTTATTTTTACTTGAAAACTCCGAGTTGTACAAATAGGTTGGAAAAAAATGTTTTCTTTTGAACTGAATGAAGAATCCAATAGTAAATTGTATTTGATGAAAAACGAGTGGCATATCATTTTTTTCTTTAAAACACACAATTGCGCGTTATTACGTTACACAGACATATAAAATCAAACAAATTAGGTATTATTGCGAAATATAATCATTCATTGTCCCATCGTTGATCGTAGACATGTCAACATTAATTTTAATTTGCTGAATCAACGTTCGCAGCTAGCCATTGATACTGCGACACTCAGGAGTATTTGAAGTGCCACTCTCAGGTTTGGAAAAACATATTTTCCATACGAGATTATAAAAGTAAGAAATTCTAACGGAGTTTTAGGTTCAATTTATATTCTACTGCGGAGTAACATTTTGCGGTAACATATTTCGATAAAGAGTTTGATTCCATTGAAGTCTGCATTATAAAATCCCCCAACATTTTTACAATTTTTTTCGAGGTCGTTGTCAATAATATCCTTGTTTAAGAAATTTTCAGCGTCTAGTAGAAATCCAAATTTTAATTTTTCAAAACTTCGACAGTCAACCGAGCTGCCCCTGGTCTATACCAGCTCAAAACGTTCCAAGTACCTATATTCAAATTCATATTTCGTTTGAATTGTTGGATTTTGTTTCCAACACTCGCCGCGCTTTACTTACTTAGGCTTTACATACTTAGGATTGAGCGGCATAGCTTATAGGTCTATAATTATTTAAATATATGGTAATGCGTTTCGTCACTGAATAGACTTTTTTACACTCAGCGACAGACAGTTCAGGTAATATGCATTCCACAGGGTCACCAAGAATTTCTGACGAATCAAACTTTTTTTATGGAAAATCTTATATCAATAAGGCGCACCTGATTCTCTTACAAATGGAGATAATTTTGACATAAGGTCTATTCTGTATGCGGTTAATTCTTTACCAGATACCTATAGACACTTAAAATTGAAAGCAGCACTGTTCCAAATCGGCAGAAGAAATTGCAAAATTTGAAAATTTTACTTACTCTATGGTCAACACATCAAACAACAACAAATAAAATACAATTAAGTTCTTAAATCGCATGAACTGTTTGAAGTTCAGCCCATTTAACTCCAAACATGTTTGTGCCCCAACACTTTATTGTTTTACGTTATATGTTCAGTTTTACTGTGTAAAAATAGTTGCCCCTGATTTCCATGTAGATCGCTTAGTTTCATATTGTTGACCACTTTATTTTGTTGTTGCAGGTAATGTTTTCTTCTGCAAATTGCTAAATGCTAAATTAAAGGGTTCTTGTATTCTCAAAAAATACGTTTCAATTATTTGATGATTTGCATAATTAAAACACGTTAGACCCGACTATTTCTGATTTGAAATCTAGGTGTGTTATTTGTTCAGATGAGCAGTTTGCCCATTTCGATTTCCTATTTCGATATGTAAAACTAAGCAATATATCTATCACCTATCAGAATCTGGTCGTGGTATCCGAAGTGCGTACTGGATATAAAATATTCCAAAGTCTAAACTCGGTTTCATCATTAAACTTGACGTCAGTAAACAAAAGAGATAGTGTGATGTATATTTAGAAAAATTGCAATTTTGTTCCGTAACATACCTTCTTCCATTTTAACAGTTATATTTGAAATTTTCCGCTGATCTACCGTACATTACAAAGACTTGAACTCTTTAAACCGAAGATCCGCATGTATTGGCTCTGGAAGTCTATTTTCATATTAGGGGTATAAAACGAGTAATAGCCTAAATACTTTGTGACACGAGAGCCCTTTGGCTTTCTTCACTTCGCCAGTGCTGGTGGAACGCCACAAAATATCCCCCCTTATGTTCTATGTTCTGGTATGGGGTATGTTCTGTGTGGAACGCTTCTTTCATCACTACATTTCATCGATATACAGACCTAAAGACTACGAAATAGTTACGAAACGTTCGATAGATTAGATATCTCAAATATCCTGCTCACCTGACATACATTTCAAAGAACAAAGTTCATATCATAATAGCAACAAAACTCTTGAAAATTTATTTATGTTTTAAACAATATTTGAGTACACAAAACCAATTAACATTCGTACTCCTTAGGAACATATCCGGTGCAATTATTATTTTGGTTGTCGCCGAGTATATTAACATTTTCCCATTTCCAATCAAAACACCCTTCGTCAGCACATAGTATGAATACCGGTATGCCTCCGCTTAAAACATTTCCATATATATTCTGCATTGAGAGGTTGTAAATAGGGATGTGGTTGGATGGTGGACCGTCCTGCGGTTGCCCAGCTGGTAAATTTAGATAGTTCTGTTCAACACTTATACCATAATTTTTAGCATCTACAAAATATGAAATATTTTGTTTTGTTTGTCTCGTATTCCATACTGCTTGGCGAAAAGTATACCTAGTATTGTTATATTCCTGTACACTACATTTTTAATTAATCCATCTCCATCCAGTACGTGCGTTTTAACGTGAATGCCATTTTGGGCCATTGTAATGATAGAATTTTCAAATAAAACATCTTCAATTGTTGAATTTGTGCCACTTATAGTAAGTCCATGACTTCCATGACAAAATAAGTTTCGAACAGTGACGTTTTTTCCTAGAATAACAAAATATTGAACGAGATAAATTTTGAGCAGAGAGTCAATGTACCTCGAGCAATAGCTATACAATCATCTTGATTATAAATTACGCAATTTTCAATAGTAACATTCTCATTTGGTTCAAATATTGCTAAATTTATCCCATCTGTATTGTGGGCGAAATGATTTTCTGGTGCTACGCCCTAAGAATTATGATACAATACACCGCCATACTTCGTGCATTGACTAGAAACATACCTCGTCTCCTTCTAAGATATTAATAAACCAATTTCTTATGACAAGATTCTCTCCGTTAACCATAGCACACAGTGCTGGGCAATCTTTAATATTGAGGCCATCAAAAATTGCATTTGTGACTTGTATTTTTAAAAGTCTTGGCTTTTTGCCGCCCCATGTGCCCTGACCGTCCCACCACAAAGGTCCGCGCCCATCGATAACAGAGTCTAATTGAAAAAAACTGATAGTAAGCCAATAGATCCATTGATCTATACTGGTCTCTTACCCTTTTCTCCAATGACTTTTATATTATTGCCGCTAATAGTTATCAAAGGCCCAGTCCATGCGCAGAAATTAAAGGAGGTATTCCCTCTAAATGTAAGTGTACTACCTTCATTTAAATTTAGTATCAGTTGTTCGCCACCAGGTATGGACAGATTGTCCAAAATAATATCCTTGCAGTTATTTGTCACATTGTTCACTTCTTCGAACTCTTTTACTAAGCAACCCTCTTCGACACGAGTTTGGTAACTCACAGGAATAAATGAGAAATACGCAAACAGTGTATACACAAACACACTCATCATTTTTACTGTCCAATGTAATTATTTGAATCAGTTGCTATTATATATACCTGCATAAAAATAAATCGACATAAATATATATAAAAGTTTCAATATGCTTCAGTCGACAAAAGATTAGATACATGTCATCTACAAATATAGTAGATACTTTGTTATCACATTAATAAGCAAAATATGTTCTCAAAATCCCTATCAAGTATGTAAATCACGGATTTACACTTTGCCGTCGTGGAATGGCTCAGTCCTTTCAAGGATCCTGAGAGCAATGCCAGCTGGAGAAAATGCTTCTGGTAGGATCACCCTTGTTGGTATGATCCAAGGTGAGAAAGGACGCTGAATAAATCCATAACTGCAGCATATGGCCTAAAATGAGCGACTGCAAACAGCGTGTGTTCCCCAGGGACGGATGAATAAAAACTCGCCAACACGCCTGGCAAGGGGGCATGTTAATGCCAAATTATCCCCCCGTCAGAAAATGTAATAATTACTAATTTTTTGTTTGAGGGAATATGTGTTACTTAATTTGACTCGCATTTCTTGGTGAAAAGAATTAAATTTAATGAAATCTCGAAAAAATGTTTATAACTGTTAAAACAAAGTTTTAAAAAGATAAGTTTTAAAATGACGTTCAAATGGAAACTCCTCGTTTTGATAATTTTATCTTATTCAGTATTGAAAATAAAGATAAGTTTGTTTAAAGTTGCTTATTCCAAAATTGTTTAGTTTCCGAAATATGGTCAATTTAATGTTTTTATATGGCTATTTTGCCCTCATCTCATTTTAAATGCCGCAACTCTTAGTGGCCATGACAAAAGTGGCCATTTTTAATACAATCAAATGCCAAAAAAATGTTGACAGCTGTCAGTTACCTTTTGAAAATAATTAATAATCTTGCTCGGACACTTAAATTATACAAGCGAAGATTATTTAAACGTATTTATTATTTATGGAGAATGTCATAAAGTTAGTGCCTGGGCATGATTATTAATTATTTTCAATAGGTAACTGACAGCTGTCAGCATTCCTTTGGCATTTGATTGTGTTAAAAATGGCCACTTTTGTGATTGCAACTAAGAGTGACAAGATTTACAATAAGATGCGGCAAAATAGCAATATGAAAACAGTAAATTGGCAATATTTCGAAAACTAAACACTTTTGGAATAGACAACCTTACACAAACTTACACTTATTTTTAATACTGAATAAGACAAAATTGTTCAAAATGGGGATTTTTATTTAAAAGAATTGATTTTCGACGGTTTGCTCAACTGTATTTTGAAACTTATTTTTTAACACTTTGTATTAAAAGCTTTCAAAATGTGGTCGAAATTCCATTAAAGTAAATCTTTTTGAATAATATATGAGACTCAAATTAAGAAGCACAAATTCGCTTATTGGAAAAATGAACAATTATTCGAGTAGCTGCAACTGTAATTTTTTACAAAAAGTTTCAAATATATCAAATACGGTTGGACTTAGGTATAGGATGTTATTAACGAAATATAATTAGAATTTGGAGACAAATTTAAAAATGTGATAGTATTATAGTAAAAATGTAAGGTATAACCGGAAGCGTCGCCATCTTGACAATATTTTAGATCGCTTGCTCCCAGTGACTTCGGCATTTGCAAATTTCTCCTGATTATAGTTTGCCAGATATCGATCGCGGCGGTTCCCGGTGGGAAACCCTGTATAATGTTTTACTATACATGAGCTGCAAGTCAATCCACAGATCTTACCTTAAAACTTGAAAATTTGTCAAAAATTAGCTTTAGGAAAAAAAGGCTTCTCCCATACACCACGAGTATTCAATCGGGAGATAATTTTGAAAAACGAGTGATTTAGCTTTCTGCATTTCGGTAGTGTTGGTGGACCACCAAGAAGGTTAGATCTGAAGTATCCTGCTCAGCTCAAATTCATTTCAAACAACAAAATGTATATAATCATATAAATTAAACTGTCGAAATGTGATTTATATTTCGACAATATTGTAAATACACAAAACCTATTAACATTCGTACTGCTCAGGAGCATAACCAGTGCAATTATTATTTTGGTTGTCGCCGAGTATATTAACATTTTCCCATTTCCAATCAAAACACCCTTCGTCAGCACATAGTATGAATACCGGTATGCCTCCGCTTAAAACATTTCCATATATATTCTGCATTGAGAGGTTGTAAATAGGGATGTGGTTGGATGGTGGACCGTCCTGCGGTTGCCCAGCTGGTAAATTTAGATAGTTCTGTTCAACACTTATACCATAATTTTTAGCATCTACAAAATATGAAATATTTTGTTTTGTTTGTCTCGTATTCCATACTGCTTGGCGAAAAGTATACCTAGTATTGTTATATTCCTGTACACTACATTTTTAATTAATCCATCTCCATCCAGTACGTGCGTTTTAACGTGAATGCCATTTTGGGCCATTGTAATGATAGAATTTTCAAATAAAACATCTTCAATTGTTGAATTTGTGCCACTTATAGTAAGTCCATGACTTCCATGACAAAATAAGTTTCGAACAGTAACATTTTTTGCTATAATGACAAAATATAAAATGAGACAAAATTTAAGCAGCACAGCAACGTACCTCGAGCAATAGCTATACAGTCATCTTGGTTATAAATTACGCAATTTTCAATAGTAACATTCTCGTTTGAATAATAATGTTCTAGATGTAACCCATCCGTATTGTGTGCGAACTTATTTTCTGGTGCTACACCCTAAGAATAATGACACAATACATTGCCATACTTCGTGCATGAAACTATACCTCGTCTCCTTCTAAGATATTAATAAACCAATTTTTTATAACAAGATTGTCTCCGTTAACCATAGCACACAGTGATGGACAATCCTTAATATTGATGCCATCGAACACTGCATTTGTGACCTGTATTTTTAAAAGCCTTGGCTTTTTGCTGCCCCATGTACCTTGACCGTCCCACCACAAAGGTCCTCGTCCATCGATAACAGAGTCTAATTGAAACAACTCAAACTAAAGCAAATATATCAATTGTTCTATACAAGTTTCTTACCCTTTTCTCCTATCACTTTTATATTATTTCCGCTAATAGTCATCAAAGGACCAGTCCATTCATAGAAATTGAAGGAGGTATTTCCTCTAAATGTAAGTGTACTACCTTCACTTAAATTTAGTATCAGCTGGTCGCCACCAGGTATATCCAGATTATCCAAAATAATATCTTCGCAGTTATTTATCACATTGTTTACTTCTTCGAACTCTTTTACTATGCAAGCTTCTTCGACGCTAGTTTGGAAACTTACAGGAATAAATGAGAAATACGCAAACAGTGTATACACAAACAGACACATCATTTTTACTGTCCAATGTAGGTATTTATTGGAGTAATTTGATGATGAATATATACCTGCATAACTAAGACTCGATTTATTATTACACATCTAAAAAGTTGCAATATACTTCAATTGATAAAAGATTAGATACATGTCATCCACAAATAAAGTAGATACTTTAAATTAATATTACATTAATAATCGAAATACGTATGTACATTTTTTGTCGATATTTCGGTCAACTAATCAGCACCCTGTCCGAATTATTGCAGTTTCATATCAGATAGAAATTCATATAGATATAAACTTAAATCACATGTACATGTGATGTGTGCTCAATTTGTACCGGTGTTCTGTAAGCCCTTGGTTTAATGTGTCTCTGAGTACCCCTGGAAGGCTTTGCTGCAATTATGTCCAATACTTGTTCCTCTGTGTCTGGAACCCGAACATCTATTGTCGTCCACTATCTTCCTGGAAACAATCTCCGGTGTCTCTCGCCCTTCTGCTATCTTTCTGTGACATTTCCCCTGAACTAATCGCATATCCGCAAATTCGTGAAAAGAGCTTCAAAGTAAGTCGCAGTTTGACAAATTATTGTCATTATTGACAAAGGCTATCTGTAACTATCTGTTAATGACAAAAAACATCATTGCCGCTCTGACTTTCCATGAAAAAATTAAAGCCGGGAACCTTTTTAAATTTAAAAATTTTCGGAATTTGAAGTAAAAATCGTAATTTTTATTTTTGAATGCTTTAGTATTCCAATATGCTACAAATTAAAGATAGAACAACTTCAAAATAATACCTAATAACAAAGTTAAAATTCGATTTTTCTTCTAATTATGTTTAATTCTAGAAATTTTCCGAAAAAAATTTCAATATTTTTTCCGTACTCTATAAGTGAACCCTTATTACCCCTTAAAAGGTATAACGACGATTTTGAATCACCCTGTATGCAGAGTGTCCCGATAAAGGTAAAGAGCGGCTGTGTCTCGACAACGATAAGGACTAGCGGTTTGGAGAAAAAACCCTTATAAGTAATAATAATTTGGCATAAAAAATAGCTGGAAAATGTATTACAGTTCGTAGCTCGACCGCAAGGGGGCGTGACTTCTACAACAAAACCAAAAAGTCTAGGTATCTCGGAAAAGGGATAGATGAGCTACAACTATCAAAACGTCATTTGAGAGCTTGGGTAATACCGCATCGATTATTTCTTTCAATTTTTTTTTGTATTGTTTATAATATAAGAGTGAGAGGCCCTTGCAGTTTTCAATACTTACATTTTAATATCTCCTGAACCACTTAACGAATTCCACTATTTTTGGGCTTCTTTGAAAGATAATTTTAATGTGTTTAAAAGCCATTTTTCGTTAAATCGTTTGGTTTTAAAACAAATCAACTAGAAGGCGTTTTCTGCTGCAATTACAATTTTTTGTGATTGTCGGAAAATAGTTAAATGGAACGATACTCTTTATTTGACATGCCCTTACACAAGTTGAAATTACTTACATTTCAGATAAAACCACATCGTTATATCTCCGGTCGTTCTCGATTTATAGAAGATTTATGCAAACGTCTAACAAATATGTAATATTTTTATATTCAGTTTTTCTGTGTTAAAATGGTTGCGCTTTATTTCCAAGTAGAACGATTTAGTTGACTTGTTGACTATTTTATTATGTATTTCCAGGTAATATCTTCGTCTGGAAATCGTTTAATGCTGAATTAAAGGATTCCTGTATTGCCAAAAAAAACTGTTCAATAATTTGATGATTTAATTAAAATACCTTGGACCCGAGCATTTCTGATTTGAAATCCGTTTATAACCGCGTCTTCCAACCGTAAAACTTAGCTCGCTTAAATCTAGGGGTGTTATTATTTGAGATGAGCACTTTTCCCATATCGATATAAATATCCTTGACCGCCCAGAAAAGACCTTGAAATAAAACACATTCCGAATTATCAAATATGTAAAACTAATCGATATATCTATATCACATATGACCTGGTCGTTATACGCTATTGTTTTCATCTTTATAAGTTGACGTCAGCAAACGAAAGAGATAGAGAAAAATATATATTTAGAAAAAATGTGATTTTGTTTTGACGCATACCATTTTTTCCTTATATACTTGGATCTTTGAGCGAAACTAACCGTTTTACTCAAAAGTCGTTTTACTTTAGAATATTGACAGACCCATTTAATAATAAACTCAACTGAAGAATATCTAGTATTTATTACTGTGAAGCTTAGAAACGAACAAACCACTATTTTTCTAATACGTTCTTCGATTGTCTTTGTTGCCTGCTTCACGATTTCCGGCGGACAAAGATGTCGTCTGGATTACTGCTTCGTTCCGATCGTCTGCTGTTAGAAGACGGGGCGCTTGGGATCGTGTTACTTAAACTGAACTTGAAGATCTGCACGCATTGGCTTTGAAAGAGTCCACTTTAATATTAAGGTAGTGATGAATGTAGCTGTTTGATCAATGAGATACAATAACGAAGGAACCTCGAGTTTTAGTAGTAGTAGAGTAATCTTTAGACAAAATTAATAATATGGGAGAAGATTGTATGTACCTTGATGGATTTATATACCGTCAAGTGTTTTATTTATTTACATAGTTCATCAATGGGCACGTCTTATGTTAAAAATTACTATGTAAAGAATTTATTCTGATGGTGTTAATTATTTTGGCCTTTTGTTGAGTGTTTTTATTTTGGCATCATTTAGACCAGTCATACGTTTTGTTTTGTATTGAACAGGCTTTATAACCTTGGACCATGAATTTCTCTTGCACGTTGAGCTGGTCTAGATTTTATGAATATGGATAATGCTGTAAAAAAGAAGTATTTTCAGACGCTGAGAAAAAAGTCTAGGCGAGTATATCTCCGAAAAATCTCATATAGCATTATGACCTTTCAGATTGAGATCTTCGCATTCGATTTTCCAACTGCATATAATAAGTGGTATTTGTATTCTGTAAAGCGCAAAACTTCATAAGCTTATGAAAACCACATGCAGCAAGTTGAGTTCGGTCCACCAGCTTCAATAAGCGTAATGGTTCCATAATATCCGAGAAGCTTAACGAGCTGTTAGAAAAACAGAAATTTACTGCCAATAAAGTCTTCAACTGAGATGATCACTGAAGATCACTGAAGATTTTGTGGTATTTGTTGACGATTCAGGCTTACGAATTAGGAGCTGAAGAAGATTTTTATCAAACACCATAGAACAATGGTAGACCTAACCAATAAAAGTGAAAATATTCGATTCAACAGTTGGTAATTTTTCACAATATTGACAGGGAAGACAATAATTTTCCAAAATCCTTGCGTCAGCGTCCAATAACTGTAGAGTTCTCAAAAGCAATATATTTTGGTGGTCAGCAACTTTGATGTCAGTCAGCGTTGTTCCCGTTATCACCTAGAGTTTAGATGCATTGCCGGAACAACAAAAAAAATGCATATTTTCGAAGTACGTAGAACTCAAAAACTACATTGTCGATTAGCAGTTACGTTTTGAAATTTGTATGTCTCAAGTTAAAATAGGACTTAGTAAAATGGAATTGTCAAAATAAAATCGACAGAAAAAATGTTTCTTGTTTTTTTAATAGCTTGCCTTAACGTAATGTTTTACTATACATGAGCTGCAAGTTAATTAACAGATCTTACCTTAAAATTTGAAAATGTGTCAAATTGAACGGGGAGATAATATTAAAAAACAAAGTAATTTGGCTTTCTTCATTTCGGTAGTGTAGTGTTGGTGGAACCCTAAGAAAGCTAGATCTGAAATGTCCTGCTCAACTAAAATACATTTCAAACAACAAAACCAATATCATCATATAAAGGAAACTCTCGAAATAATGTTAGATATTTATATTTCGACAATATTGTGAATTGTTGACAATATTGTGAATTTGTGAATCCACAAAATCTATTAACATTCGTACTCCTCAGGAACATAACCAGTGCAATTATTATTTTGGCTGTCGCCGAGTATATTAACATTTTCCCATTTCCAATCAAAACACCCTTCATCAGCACATAGGATGAATACCGGTATGCCTCCACTTAAAACATTTCCATATATATCGTGCATTGAGAGGTTGTAAATAGGGATGTTGTTGGATGGTGGACCGTCCTGCGGTTGCCCAGCTGGTAAATTTAGATAGTTCTGTTCAACACTTATACCATAATGTTTAGCATCTACAGAATTAAAAAATCTTGTTTCATTTGTCCCATATTCCATAGGTACTACTTTCAGAAACGTTTACCTAGTATCGTTATATTCCTGTATACTACATTTTTAACTAATCCATCTCCATTAAGCACGTGCGTTTTAACATGAATACCATTTTCGGCCATAGTAATGATAGAATTTTCGAATAAAACATCATCAATTACTGCATTATCGCCACTTATTGTAAGTCCATGACTCCCATGGCAAAATAAGTTTCGAACAGTGACGTTTTTTCCTGGAATGACAAAATATTAAGCGAGACAAATTTTAATCAGAGAGTCAATATACCTCGAGCAATAGCTATACAATCATCTTGATTATAAATTACGCAATTTTCAATAGTAACATTCTCATTTGGATACGATTTTCCCAGATTTATCCCATCCGTATTATGTGCGAAATTATTTTCTGGTGCTACACCCTTGAAATTATACGAACACAATACACTGACATGCTTCGTGCACTAACTAAAAACTTACCTCATCTCCTTCTAAGTTATCAATAATCCAATTTCTAATAACAAGATTCTCTCCGTTAACAATGGTACAAAGTGAAGGACAATCTTTGATATTGATACCATCCAAAATGGCATTTGTGACCTGTATTTTAAAGAGTTTTGGCTTTTGGCTACCCCATGTACCCTGACCGTCCCACCATAAAGGTCCGCGCCCATCGATAACAGAATCTAAATGAAAAAAGTTCAAAGTAAAGAAATGAAATACATTTTCTCATATAGGCTTCTTACCCTTTTCTCCTATAACTTTTATGTTATTGCCGCTAATAGTTATCAAAGGCCCAGTCCATTCGTAGAAATTAAAGGAGGTATTTCCTCTAAATGTAAGTGTAGTACCTTCATTTAAATTTAGTATCAGTTTTTTGCCCCCAGGTATGGAGAGGCTATCCAAAATAATATCTTTGCAGTTATTTATCACACTGTCCACTTCTTCAAATTCTTTTACAATGCAACCGTCTTCCGCACTAGTTTGATAACTCACAATAATAAATGGAAAACACGCAAACAGTGTATACACAAACAGACTCCTCATTTTTACTGTCGAATGTCTTTATTGGAGTACTTTGCTAGTACATGTACGTATTATTACATATTTAAATAGTTTCAATATATTTCAATTGATAAAAGATTAGGTATCCGTAATCTCGAAATATAGCAGGTACTTAAAATTACTATTAAATAAATAAACAAAATATGTACATGTGATTTGAATGTCGTCATGGGGTGGATATTTTATTAAAAATTGCAAAAATGCAACAAACTGCTGATTATTCGACATATAAATCGACAGAAGAAGTCTGACAAAATTAGTACAATATCCAACCTTTCTGAGGGACTGGAAACAGTAACGTATGTCTAACCCAAACCACCAATAATTTTAACTTTATAACCCACCATAATTATCAATAATTAAATTAATTTATATTCATAATAGGACCATCCTGATTTTTTAAATTCGATCTACATGATGCCATTCTGCACGGTGCACCTAGTTTATTGGGAAGCACTTTTCTTAACCTTCGTTAAACTTCGCCTAAAAATTTCGCCATTCCACCTCAGTCCTTCCCCACTTTACCATTCCTGACCACTGATAGATGATATGATGTTTCTCCTCAGCCGTACTACATTGTAGACATACGGGGCTATCATCAATTCCTAGTAGGTGTAGATGTCTGTTCAGACCACAGTGACCTGTCGTGACCCAACCCGAGTTCTTAGCGCCTAGCGACTCCTTGCCCTCAACTATTTGGATGTTTCCTTGCCGTCACTTGGGATTCCAATCCAACTCTATCGCTTGCCTACACCCTACCTCCATTCTCCACGTCTTTGTGGTACCTCTTAGAGTTCAGTCATTTAAAGCGCTTGCTACATGTCTGTTACTTAAACCTATATAAGATTGGGCACTTATTGAGTTTTTACAAAATCCGAGCCTGGCCAAAGTATCGGCACCCTCTTTTCTCGCGAACGCCATGAGCGCTGGAATCTACGCTAGGTTTACTTGCTTTCGTTCTGCCAGTTTATTCAGGTCATCCCAGCAATCCTGGATCAGCCTACAGTTCATCTTGACACTGATAATATTATTATGGTACGTATATTGATACGGTATAAAAAATGTTAGTATGTTTATATAGGTTTATTGGGTTTTCCGTTAATAGTTTAACAGATGTACACCTTAACTTGGAAATGGAGGCACATTTGGTATATTACTGTACCAAGCTTGTAAAAGAAATTAAAAATCGGATCTATCCTCTAATACCATTTATATGGAAGTATACATTATAAGAACAATCATAGAAAAGGCAAATTATACAACCTTCCTCTTTGGATAGCTTTTGTTGATTATGAAAAAACATTTGAATCCATCGAAAGATGGGCTGTGTTAAACGCGCGAAGTAACTGCAGAGTATATCACCGATACATAACTTTGATTAGAAATATATGTGATAAATCAACTTTTAGAGTTGCATTGAAGGACTGTACAAACAAAATTAAACTTCGAAGAGGAGTCAGGCAGGGCCAATCCATCTAACCAAAATTGTTCACGCTTGCGTTAGAAGATGTGTTTAAGAAAATTGATCCTCCTTGACACCAAAGGCATACAGAGAAATGGAGAATACTTGAACCACCTTCGTTTCGTGTACGATATCGTTCTGTTCGAACAAAATCGATAGGATCTGCAGGAAATGATAACAGAGCTAAATCAGAATTCTAAGTACGCACGTCTTAAAAATAAACACCGAAAAAACTAAATATATGACAAACGATAATAACATAATATAAATATCGAAATCAATAACACAAAGCTAGAACGAACAGACTCATACATCTACTTAGGTCAAAGAATGGAATTATTAAAAGGTATAGCAGGACAATCTTATATGAACTCTATAGTTCTTCAATTTTATAGTTCTAGTTAACAATCAGAAAACGTTTAATTGAAACGTTTCTGAGGGCGGACATGACGAATGAGGAAGAGAGATCGATAAAAAAACAAGTAAATGCAAAGTGTAATAAAGAATCTCCCAAGATAAAATATCAACTATTCCATATGAAGTTCCCTAACTGTAAAAGAGTGAATTATTGAATTATTAAGCCTGGGTTTGCGTGTCTTCCGAGTGGAGGATTCACCATGAAGCGTGAATATAAAACACTGATGACCACCAATAATCAATTTTCACTAATTTACAGCTATGTAGTTCGCGGATGTGCAAACATAATGAGCTTAACGGTTTTGTCAACAAGATCATGTGCTATTTTCAGTGGTAAATTACGACTATGTTATTTTTTCCACTGATACGATTCCGTTCGTGGCTAAACTATCTCAAAATAGCATCTTCGCTTTCCTCTGCCTGCACGTCAGCTAACCGACCAAGTTACATATAGAGGCCCGGTTTTTCAACAAATTGTCAGTTGATAGTGATAGCTCGATTAATAAGCAACGCATACAGTGCATGTGCCAATCAACAATGGCTTTCATGATGCCGGTAGTGAAAAACGACTGGAATATTTACAAGTCAAACAGATCGCGAAAAACTTCCGAATGCAACACATCATGCACTACCAGAACGAGGAAAATTTCGGAATGCAGATCTGAGGGCCTGGGCAGCTTGTCCACTTCTCCAAAACTGGAGGTGCCACTTCCAAAACATCACTCCGTACCGGATCGAATGCCTTCTAGAGTGTTCCCTAGAGGCAGAACCAGCTCTGAAAATCTACCCAGCAGGGCGAAGGTGTCATTTCCGCCGGAAAATCCGATTTCTGCTTCAGCCAGCAATTTGAAACCTTCACTAAGCGGCTGCAATTGGCTCGACAAGCTGAAAAAGTTCATAAAACATAGCAAAAGAGAAGAAGAGAGGTCCAAGTAATTAAAGAGGATATTTCCGAGTTATTAGCTGATTTCAGGATTGATGTTTTGAAAAGCTCACACGTTCGCAATCAGCAATGGCGAAGGCACTTTACACTCTGTAAGTTTGGGAATTGTGCAAATGTGATACTGAGCGGCTAATAAACGCTTCAGAAACTATTTGGCAACAGTCGCTGATGTTTTGAAAAACAGCACTGCCCTAGAATAGTTTTTAACATACACATTGAGGCGATTAAACAAGAATAAGGCAGTTGGGACGGCAGCGCCATCTAAGGAGCGAGAATCTGTGGTGATGAATATTGAACATATGTATTGATTGGACTGAGGAGTTGAGCGCCATCTTTGCCCCGAAATTAGTATGAAGGCTCCTGAAATATGTAGTTCGCCATCGAGCACAAGCCCCTGTGGTAAATACGGAAATTATACAAGAGAGAACTGAAACCCTAATAATGTAGTAAACAAGAGCACGTGATGGTTGTTTGGGCGATAACCTATGAAAGAATTATGTTTTAAACTGCACGTAAGCCAGGAGAACCTGAAAACATTTGGACTGAATCACCTACCTCTCCCTTTCACCCGCACTCCACATCGACGTCGGACTGACGTTACATAAAATTATTTCGGTTGAGCCACACGTTTCATTCCAGTAGAAGCACGCGAAAGAGACGGAGCATACTTGAGTGGCCGTGGTGTTCGATTTATCAAATTTCGATTTCTGAATTCAAAATAAACATCGTTATGGCTTTTATGATGCCGGTAGTGAAGAATGATTGGGACATCTACAAGTCCAATCGGTCCCGCAGAACTTCTGAATGTTCCAACACGAATTCATGTCGTTCGAGAAAAGTCTCTGAGTGCCGATCAGAAGGGCCCAGCAGCACATCGACATCTCCGGGTTCTGATTTTATTACATCTCCGCACCGTTCTGTGCCAGATAAAATGTCTTCGCGACAGTATTCGCGGTCCAATTCCACCAGCTACTCCAGAACCAGTTCCCAGAGCTTTCAGAGTCCCATGAAGAGTGCGTCATCGTCACCGCCAAAAAATAATTCGTCGACAAGTCTGAACAAGTTCCACAACCGGCTATTGGACAAGCTGAAGAAGTCAATGCGGAATGGCAAGGACGAAGAAAGAACCAGTTCATGAGTTGGGGTGAAGGTGAGAAAAAGGAAAACTATTACCTCCTAGTGGGTGCATTATTGAAGGGTCAGTTGTTTGCATAGGAATGAATATTTTAATTTTTGACCGGGTTCTGGGAAACTTCTAACTTATATTCTATCCATTACCTACTTGTACAGGTATTGCAATATTGATATATCACCTGTGATATGTAGTTCTTTCTGTCTATTTTTTTCAAAAAGGTAGGGGCAAATTTGCAGATGCGAAATAATCATCACTATTGTATTATTTATTATCACGCATAATTCTCTATGACGGCGAATGTTGCATGCACAGACCTACACATAAATAACTGCATTAAAAGCTATGCAAAAGTATTGATTATTGTTGTTCGCGACTGTTCTATATTTGCCGCAGAATCTAGAATGTGAAAGCTGAGATTTGGCGGTAACATATGTCGAATAAATATTATTCCTCGATTATTTAAAAATAATTCGTGTAGTGACATAATGCGCTGTAGATTGGAGCTTATTCCAGCTCGGTCACGTGTAGTTAACTATTTGCGTAGAGTGGCAAAATCAACAATGTAGTGTAAAACAATTTCAATTAACAATCAAACACCTTATAGCATATATAGGTTTGGCAATAATCTTCTTTAAACCGCGTGGTTTATCACTTATTCCTACGCAGAATAATGCGATTTATCTAATACCTTTTAATATTGCATGCAAAAGTCAGGAACAACAAAATTTTGGAAATCAGTAATTCAATTTGATTGAATTGGAACATCGATCAATTTATCTAGTAATCCATTCAATAATTTTTCCATTTATTTACAAATAAAGCCTGGGGCGCATTATATTTATTAAACTATTCACATCAATCTAAATAAATAATTTGCAAGTGCAAGGAAAATTCGAAAGTCCCATCAAGACTAACTATTTCGATTGTTCTTCATTTTAATATGATCATTATTTGAAAGTGTTAAATAAACAGATTTTTTCTGAACCAGTTCAATGGAAAGTTACTGATGTATTTTGTCACTCTGCTCGAATCAAAAAAATTTTGCTTCGATTTTTCGAAGCCGATTGACTTAATTTTCGAAAGACTGGTTAGTGGGAGGATATTAGTAACATATAATGTAATTTTTAAGAAAACTATTTTGCTTGTTAGATTGTTTAGTATAGTATAGGTTATCTTAATATATGAGAATCTAAATAATATATTCTAAATATTCAGATGATATCGAAAGAAGACACAGAAATTTTAATGTATCTACTTAGATTAGAGTAATTTTATTGTAACAAGTAATATTTTTGTTTTGTAAATAGTTGATTTTCAAAATTTACGTAACTCGAATCAGTCAGTTCACAATACGCAGTGGCCTGCTTTGTAAATTTATAAAATAAAACAACCAAAATGTTGCTAATTACAATAGACGCACAGATGGGGGCAATATTTATGTTTGGTAATTACTGCCCTACACTTATTTTTTATAAACACATTCCCTGTTGTGCAGTAAGAGAAGCACTCTTTATACTGTGTTTGTATTTTAGGAGTGTTTCTCGTTTTTTACAATTTTATTGGAAAAAAATATTTAAAAATAATTGAAACATCTGTTGAAATAAGTTTTGTTGCGACTTAGTAATCTGGTACCAATAATTGTAATATTTATAAAAAATTATGTTTCATAGTTATTTCTAGCAAATAATGTATACTGTATACTATATCAAATATCTTGGTCAACTAAATAAAACAGCTGCGATATACTTAACATTTTGTTTGCTATTTTTGTCTGCAATAAATTATAATTATATGTTCCGATAAGTGTGTTTTATTTGTTTGTTCCCAATGATTCACTGTCTTTCACAGCTAATTTTATTCAACAAATGATATTAAACAATGTGAATTAACAGTTTCTCCAAACAGCGCTTAGATTCACATCTTTTAAATTGGTCTCAACTGTTTGAAAGATGAATGGTTTCTGAATTATTACAGTTTCTTAAGGTTGTTGCGTGAGTTGAGTGAGTACAACTTAATTAAAATAAATGTCTTAAAGCTTGTGTATTTGATGATTTTTTATAACATAATTAATATGCTTAATTTCTCAATCTTTATACTGATCTGATGAACTGTTTCAACTATTTTGAAATGTTATTTTTAAATATAAATATTCAGAATTCATTAAAACTGAATAAATATAGTGTTATATTTAGATATATCAATTGGGAATAAATATTTATAGTATTCTTTATTTGGCGTTTATTGATAATAAAAATTATGTGTTTCTAATCATCGAAATTTCCATAACAAGTCTCAAAATTAAATTAGTATTTTTCACTTTTAAAATGCTGGTGGTACAGTTGGTTTCCTTGCATTTACTTCCGAGTTTCCAACATTTACTTTCCATTGCATCATTAATTTATTCATAAAAGTTTTGTACTGAGAATTTGAGAAGTAACGTAATTCTCATCTGAACTGAATTCGCGTAGATAAAAAATGTTTCTTCGCTTCCTTATTGTTAATTCAATGGTTTCGTATAAATTAAATTAAACACACTGAATTCGTTTTTTTGCAGTGGAAAATCTTTAAGCTGGAATTCTCGTTTAATAAGCTTGAATTGTACATAGACAAATTGTACAGTATGTGTTTATGCTTTTCTGTTTTTTTAATATATAAAGTTATTATCAATCACTAGGCGCGTTCTGAACACTGTACCTGTAGTCTCATCAGGATTCATGAGCTCATCAACATTTTTATACATGTGTCACCCGATACAGTGTAAATTCTAAATTTTGGAAAATTTATAATATTGATTTCCATAGTGTCACATTAGCAATTTTTTGGTATAAAGACTTAAGGATGCTCTTCGCCGTATCAATTTTCTGCATTCATCCAAATGAACTGACATTTGAAAAGCTTGACTGTTGTAGTTCTAGAAAGGTACGTATTATTTTTGAAGGCGTTCGGAAGGCAACTGTTTGAGGTTTTATATAAATTTGAAATTTTAATTATTTGTCAGTATTTAAGTGGTTTTTTTTGTAAACTAGTAGTTAAACTAACTGGCAATTCAATAAAGAATCCTTGGGTATAAGTCAAACTAATATAATTATTTTTCATTCTAGTTATGGGATATATGATATTAGCGAAATACACTGTTTGGGCGAAGAAGGAAATGTCTTAGGTAGGTACGTACCTAATTATATATTTATTGAAATTAATCCACACGCTATTTTTTGCCAAGTTGATCAAAAAGAAAGGAAATTTTGAAATACAATTAGTAAATTATACATCATAAATAAATACTACATTGCAGCACCATAAAAGCTAAAAAAAGGGATGGGATTTCAAATTGAAATGTGGTATTAAAACCTTCTCTCTTTTGAATTAGTAGTAAGTAGCTTATAGTTACTACGAGAACTGAAATAAGGATTTTTTATAATTTTACGCTAGGTAATAAAATAAAAAAGAAGTTTACTATTAAGTATGTAGTTGTTAATGTGTACAAACGTTGAAATTAAAAAATATAGATACAATTTAATGTTTATGCAATTGAAAATAGAACATTAACAACTTGTTACACCTTGTAGGCTGTTTCGGATTAAACTTATCAAAAAATCTCCATTTCAATTTCCTTTTAAAAACTTTCTTTAACATATTTTCACATCATAATGACACACCTTGCGTTAACTAACAATTTACATAATTAACATATGTGATGATAAAATCATAGTTAGTAAGATGTTTGGTCTATGTTCATATGATTTTGTATGATTCATTGTCATATTCGACATCAGACAGCATGATGTCTGGAACTTCAGACACATAAGCACTTGTTGTGCAATGTTATAAAAGGTACAATTATTGTTGTTGAAGCCGACGTCACAATGACTGGATATTTCGAAAATATTTTTGAAATTTATATGAGCTGATTGATGTTGCGTCCTATCAAATAAAAAATTGTTGATTATATAAAAAAAAATATATTAAGCCAGTGGTTGAGATACATTTTTAATTTTCAGTCGTACAAAAACCTACACATCTTGTGTTACAATAGAACCTATAAACAATTTGATAATAAAAAGTTACAAAATATCTACAAATATTTTTTTATAGATATTATAAATACAATACAGAATACAGGTTATGAAAGGTTTACTAATGTCAAAATAAAACGAAATACATTTATTATTATTAATAAAAGCAATTAGTCAGCGAAACTAGGATTAAATATGTTTCCAAGTAATAATTAGATCTGTAACAAATCGGTTTATTATCGATTAATTCCATGAATTTTAACAAAGAGTAATGTAATAAATAATAAATGTACCAACAATATAATCTTATTATTATGCTTATAAATAAAAATACAATTAAAAGTAAACTCACAAAAATTAAACCTTTTTAAAACATGAGTTAATAGATGATACTACGAAAAACTAGTATTTACAAGCAATAATAACAATAAACAATAATCAATAATTCATTAAATATAATAGTTCCATGGAAGGAAACTACTACTAAAAGAAAGTCTACAATTACAATAAGACATTTTAAGTAAATTGTAGTAATTCCTAAAAAATTGTTGACATTATTGCTGTAATTTCTATTTAAGTAAAATATAACTTTAAATCCATCACAGTCACTATACAAAAATCCAATCAAACAGTGTGTTTCTTTGTAATAAAGTGTATATGTATATTACTCAAGGGTGTTACATCGTTTGAATGGATGTTCTTCAGTGTTTAACTGAAAATCTAAAAGGCAACATTTCCAAAATATTTTGTCCTGGTTGTTTTGTTTGGGTTAACCTCATAAGAGACTCATTTCAATAATAATTAAACCTCAAATTTCTGATCATATTAATCTGTTAAAAAAATGAACAAATGTTAGGAGTTTTTTTGTTACAATTTTATTGAAAAGCTCTGGGTATCGTTTTAAGGATGTTTAAGATTTCTAAATTTTTTTGATAAGTTACAAATTAATAATAAATACAGACCTGATTTTATCATTTGATACCCAATATACTTTCAAGTCAAGCAGTGATTTCTGGAAGTTGCCATTTATTAACGTTGATTTAATACCCTCTAACCATTTTGCTCCCTTCTTTCCTCCATCTATAACTGAAATTATCAAATGGATGATTCCAAATTAATCTCACTTCTTTTTATAGGTTTTCGGGATTACTTGGAACATTCGAAAACATATTTAATTGCAAATTTACTTTCTTTCTTTCTCTTTTTTTTCTCTCCAAGTTATTGTGTGAAACAACAACAATAATAAGCAATATTTTAATGTGGTAGTCATTTGGCGTACTGTGACAAGAAATAGCGTTTTCATACATTTTTGATAAAATAGCCACAATCCTTGGGAACATTCCCGAAATTAGTTCTTGTAAAAAAGTGAAAATTGTTGATGAAACTGAAAGTTGCAGCCTGGAAGTCACTGTAGTATTCATGTAGGTAATGAGCGAGACCATTTTGAGTTCAATACAACAAAAGTAGCACTACTAGAGGCTTGGAAAACAATTTAAATGTTTCGAGGAGCTTCAGCTTATCGGCCTAAAAATTTTCATCAATCTGCATCAAATAATACTTCTAGAGTAGTTCTCTTCTAACCTGTGTTGATTTACTCAAATTGAAAACACTTTTGCTAAGTTTATGATTTCGTTTATTGATTGTGTTGAACATTCTTTTCTTTCCGCAAACTTTTCTGCATTTTCTATAAATCGGTATCTTTGTAGATTGACGTCAATTTTGTCGGTCTTTATTTGAATGTTTAAACAACAGGAAATCTAAAATCTAAAAATACGTGTTTTACAAATATGAGATATATATTATTGTTAAAATTTTGAGTCTGCATTATATTGTTAAACATTAGTCGAAAATTGATTAGTTTTGTAATAGAAACATTTCGTTGGACACTGGTAATTATTGCAGCTCAGATGGCCTATATCATCATATTCAGATATTCCATAGATTTTTGTAATTTTATTGTGGTAATTCGAAATCACTAACGTAGAATAACTATGAAAACGTTTAAAGAATTTTGGTATTTACCATACATTTTTATTTTGTAAAGCAGATATCACTACTTTTCTTATCAGCAGTCACACGATATTATTTATAAATTTCACTGAGTCAATGAGATAGTAGTGGGCTATAAAGTGTGGTCACAGCTAGTCTTAACTGGAAGTAAAAAAGTTCATTAGTAGATTTGTGTTGTAAATTAAACATTGATATGGCATTCATGATACCGTACGTAAAACGCAATTGGGAAATTTTTCATGTCGATCGAGTTGGAAGGCCAGCAAAGCAGGTAGATGCCGATAACAACCATATATCAGCAAACAGCAACATATTAGCTTCACGAGGCACCAGTTCAAAGACGGCTAATCAATCACCAAAGGCAATCGCAAAGACCTCAACAAATCACAGATAATTACTATGCTAAGTTGTTAAGACGGAAATGTATGTACATTGTGTTGAACAACAACCAGTGTGATATTAAGGAAAGATCCATTAAAAAAAGTTAATGGCATAAATCAATATTTATCAATTATTAGGACTAAGTTAAATGTTAGTACAGATTAAAATGTTCCTCAGGTGAAGCAAACACGAAAGGCATGACATTGTTGGGGAACAGACTTTTCATGCGTATTTAAAGTAAATAATATGGAAATAAATTATGTACAAATATTGCAATTAATATAATAAAAAAAATCATTAGCATCTATAAGAAGTATAATGTTAATATTATGGAGTAAAGGTTCGAGCAAAGGTGACTACAGACCTCAGCAGACTATATTGCGGGCACCCAACTGTATTCAGTGAACACATGAACAGTATGCGATCGGAAACAAAGCAAATCTGGAAGAATTTAAATCAGATTATTAGAAAATATAAGAGGTGCAAAGCGACAACTAAAACATTCCAAAGGCACATTGACAATTGAACAAAATGGTCTTTATTTTCATATGCACCAAATAAATATTTCGAATAAATTTAGATTCATAGTCCTGGGTTGGTTGCTTGGGTAAGTTTGAATAAGCTAGAGGAAATGAACCCATGTTTTAACTTTTTACTCTAAAAATCCAACCCAGCCGAATATTGGAAGGATACACGTTCATTTAAATAGCAAACATCTTTTCACAGACACGTGGTTCTCAAGAATTTTTATTACAGCATCGGTTTGGCGGTTCCTAAAACATTGTTGCTTAATCTACATTGTCATAGGTGAGAGATCAATATTATGTCCTCGTCGAGTTCGTCGTTTTATATTAAAACCAAAATAAATACAGTAGCGAAAGTTGCACCATGTTTAATAAATAACTATGGAAATTGGGTTTAGTATAGTGTACAGGGTGGTGCATGGAATACCGAAAGCCAATTTATTTTATAAATTTATAAGCCCAACTATTCAAATTCTCTAGAAATATACGGTGTGCCACAGTAAAAATATTAAATGTTTTTTTTTCGAATATAGTTGTACAAGGTGATTCAAAACTACTGTAATTCATTAAAAGCTTTCTGAAATTAACTTGTAGAACACAACATATATACAAAAGCGTTTCAATTTTTATTTTTCGATGATACTAACATACAGTTATGTGTGTTACAAACAGTGTTACAGCTATTTAGAACCTTCAAATACATTTTTGATGAAAACAGGTCCCGAGTTACTTTTGCACTTGTTAACTAGAAAACTTTCCTTTAACTCAGATTTGTTCCACCAGATTAGAATATCCACCACAACACTAGTTCTGATGTATATTAAGGATTACTATACTCATAACTCACATAATGAGTGAACGCACTGGTCTATAATAATTTTATCTATTCTTTGGAAGTTAAGTCTTTAAAAATACTTACATTTTGAAACACATATTTATAGACTTTTTCTAAATATGTTCTCTAAGTTTCACTGTTATGTTTGCTAATTTTCGCGTAAAAATAAATGATACTTGTGGTAAATATAAGAAGACAAATGTGGTGAAAATGTTGTTTGTATTATTTTTCGGTTATTGTACATGTTTCAGATTTATTAATTAAACTTTTATTTGCTGCCTAAAAAATCATGCATTTCTAAGGAATTTACCTCGACTGCGACAAAATCTTGTCTTAAACGGTATAAAATAATTATTAAGTTTTAAAGCGTGCTTAAAGCTAAATAGATTAGCTATTAAGGTATTATACGGGAAATTTATATTTTTTTAATATAACTTACGATCTTGCTGATCTTAGGACCTTAGAAGTGGCCACGTATACGAAGCCTAATGAACTATAATAAAATTATAATTGGAAAACTATAACGTTTTCTAAAACATTCAGGGTTAAATTGTAACAATTGGAAATTCTTTGAAAATTATAGTTCATGGCCATTGATGGAAACATCTTGTTTTATGTTTAGATTTTCTATGTTTCATTTAATTGTTAACGATTGTTATGGCATTTGAGAAACTAGATGTGAGATAGAGAAATACTGAGACAGTTTAAAATTCATACTATCCTTAGTTAATCATATTTTGTTGGCTCTGTCTGGTTTGAAATAAAATACGTTCAACACTAGAGCTGCGTAGTTCGCGAACGAACTAGTTCAAAAGATCGAATCTGGGAAGTGAACGGATCGATCTAGTTCTTCTAAATTGAAAGAGCGAATCAGTTGGAACTGAACGAAACATGGCATTTCGTCTCACTCTTGTTGGAGAACGAGACCGATGCC